GTAGCTCGTGAGTCACAGAGAAAGAGGAGGGAAAAGGTAGAGGTCAGAAAAATGAGTGGGGCGACAGAAAAGCAGAAATGTGAAGATTGAAAATCCAGATACAGTTTGTATTGTAGGCTCGTTCAGTCTCCATAGAAATTCACTGGTGGTTAATAAGAGGACTTTTTTTAATGAGGTATTTTTCATGTTTCATTTTGTCCTGCGATAATTAGTATTGAATTATTTCTTAGCTAGAAAAACAAATATCATTGTACCCCTGGATTCTCCATTTTCCCAGATCCATGATGAAATATACTGGCTTCTTTGTCCATGATGTCTTTTCACTGAGTTCCATGGAAATCCATTGTGCACTTTTTGCATAATCCTGCTGACTAACAAACCGTGCAGGGGCAAAGCATAACCTGCTTGGTGCAGGTAACAACATTGATTATGTTATAATGAGAAAGTTTTGTGATAAAAAGATGAAAGTGTTGTAATTATGGTGTCTCAGTACAACAAATCATTTAGTATTCGCTAATGAAAACATAGTTTTCACTAAATTTATCACTAAATTCTACACACTGAACCTTTAACCGAACCTTCAAGTCACCTACAGAAACCATGACGTGTTCAAAATGCTGACAGTGCTTCAAGTCATTAAGGAAACACTTTTTTAAAACATTTTCTTTGATTACGTGAGAGAAAAATGTCCCAAGAGCCATCAAGTCTATCTCAAAACACATGTGTCTGCTGCAAATAAGCGATATAAAAAATGTAGTAGACATTGCTGCCAAGTGAAGTCATCGGATTAACAAAAGAAAGAGGAAAGTGACTGATTCCTCTGGTGCAGGTAGACACACGCTGCCTGCTCTCGCCTGCAGGGCTGACTCAGGACTTCTAACAGTGACAGAGACAAAGTCTGAATATTTCATGTCCTCACTTCAGAAAACACAGTCATCAGGGGAACAATTACTTTAATCACCAGGTGTGATTAATGTGCAGGAATCTACATCGGTGGGATCAGAGCAGAGACTGAGCTGAGCTTGTAAAGTGGAGCTGTACATACGTGCAATAACAGACATGGTGTAGTTCAGTGGAACATAGAAACAGAACATGTTGCACTTCGCTGTGCAAATAAGCAGTTTCAAAGAAGAGGAGAAATGGTGTGTTAACAGTCTGGAGGTTTTCCTAATGCTGAATAAACCTTGTTAATAGTTTAAAAACACAAGATTTAATTTCCTTGGAGGAAACTGTGGAGCTCGGCGGCTGCAGTGCAACATGAGGTGGTGCAGCGGTCGTAAACAGCAGCATTATATCTGCGCTGCAGGATCAGCATGTGTAGACTTCAGAAGGGCTCTTGTTTAGTCTTTGTTCTGCATTAGAGGCCCCAGCAATGTGAGATGGGACTTTATCTCCTGCTGAATTTCTTAATCCTCCCAACATTCATCTCTTGAATGTGAAAGCACATTTTTGTTTTAGCTGTAATCTTCCATTTCCAAACCAAGAGTCAACATGCACAGGTCTGCACACAATGCGCTGAGCACGCTGTGATAATCCTTCTCGAGAGAACTGCGTAATATTCAGTCACTTGAACTAACTTCAGGATGTTGAATTCATGTGAGGCTCTTAAAATGAAGCCGGCCCCTTTTCTGTGTAGAATCAACTGCTTTAATTCGTAAAGACGAATGAATATGAACTTTTATGAAGATGAATGAAATGAATGCTATCTTTCCCTGGTGATGCTTTAGGAGCCAGAGTCTGTGCATCAGTGATTGACCTGACCAATCAGGACTCAGCTGTCAATCATGACGTCCCACCCGGTTTTTATACGATCAGATTTCTTGTTTTAGTTTGGTTCATGTCCCACCTGCTAACTTGTAGAATGCTGGATTTATGACATGTACTGCAGGCATCCACTAGGGGGCAATCAAAACAATTTGGCTTAACTTTTGCAACGCACATTTGGTCGACTGGTATGACATTCAAGTTACCGGTTATCTCATAACTATGAGTCCCAAAAATCATAGAACTTCTGTCTGGTACTTTGGTTTTTGGCCAAATACTCAAATGTTCTGGTTGTAGGGATGATTGTTGGTCGGTCAGTTGGTTGGTCAGTTGGTTGGTCGGTTGGTCGGTTGGTTGGTCAGTTGGTCAGTTGGTCGGTCGGTCAGTTGATCGGTCGGTCAGTCAGATTGGACTCAGTTGGTCATTTTCTTGCTCTTTTTCATGGAAACGCTCCAAGAGAAAGTCAAAACGTCTTGAGAAACTGAGATTTTAACAAACCCTCTTAAGTGGCGGTTCCCTTGTGGCAGAGCGCAGCCAGCTTCCTGTCATCTCCAACTTGCTCTTCAAATTAAATTAATTTTTGGATGTCAACACAGAGCACATGTTTCAATCGGCAGACTTTCTTGAAGGGAAACAATAAGGAGACAAGGAAAACAAAGGAGCGAGTGTGTTGTAGTTTATGATCTCATCCTCTGTGTATTAGCAGATCTTGGTTTGCAGTCAGTATTTATTCTGTTTATTTAAGTTCAGAAAAATGCCTCCCTCTGAAATGTTGCAGATGTACTCATGTTAAGTAAAAGTACCTTCAAATACTTCAGTGCTTACACTCTAGAATAGCCATTCAACATGTTGAGCTAACTGCACTCTGTGAAGTGTCCGTTGATCCTGCAGTAATTCTATGCAGATAATTAACCTCATTACTTCCAGAGTTTATCTCCCTGAGCTGCGCTTCACATACCTCCTTATCGCTGCTGATAAGCGCCGTCGTAAAGAGATGAACATAAGACGTTTGTGTGTCTGTTTGCAGGCGTGTGAATGAATCATATGTACACAAGTATTTGCAAATGACAAAATGTGTGTCTGCGTGTGCCTGCACCTGCTTCCCTGGGAGGAAACATCTGCTGCTGGGTGTCAGAGGCCACCTGTCAGACTCCGTCCTGCAGCCGCTGACGGCCCAGCGCGCAGAACTGATCCACTGTCTGCGGGAGCTGCCTCAGGACGATCTGAATGGAGAGACACAGCTGTCTTATTAGAACACCTCCCCGCCATTATGGTGCGTCATCTGAGACGTCGTGGATTCGCCACATTTGCCCAAATGAAAGCAACAGGAAATCTTCTCTGCGTGTTGGAAGTAACAGATTGACAGAAAGCTTGTTGTTCTTAAATGCATCTTTGAAATCGGAGAAACATCTGTGACGTCCAAGCTGAGAGAAACATCCCGGGAATAAAACCCCACGACTCGCTTGACAAGAATAAGACTGGTACAGGATGACTATGAAAAGGTTTATTCTGAATAAGCAGCTTTATGTTTCTGGGGCGACTTGTTCAGGGTGTCTCCCACCTCTCGCGATGGATGGATGTTGCCGTGGGTAACATTGGGTCGACAGTTTCGGTCAAGAGAAAGTTCCTCCGCTTTGGTCCAGACTCAATTACCTGTATATTCATGTTCCCCAGAGGATCCATCTATGTGACTTCGATGCTCCCCTGACTTTGCCACGTTGAGGTTCAGGTTTGTGGTTTAAAGTGAAACGTTTCATCAACTCTCGGATGAATTACCACAGATTCCACTTGATATTTCCACGTTCCCCTCAGGATAACGCACAGTAACGTAGAAGATCCCGTCACTTTTCATCTGGCTTTGAGTGAAGCGCTAATTGGCCAATGTGAGCGGGCTATCATGCTAGTCCTGCCTTAGCTACGTTCACACTTGATTTATAAAATGTGAGTCATGGTGTTGGTGAGTGAAGTTGGCACAGATTCACCTGCAGTGTTTTATGATCTTTACTTTCCATCAAGTAAACTGACGGCTGAACAAGTTAAGATGTCAGCCCTTTTCTTTTTTTTTTGATAAATTACTCCGCGGCAGTTTTTTTTATTGAATTTAAGTTTGTAAATATGAAAACGAGAGGACTGGTCTTATATATATAGTAACTGACAGACATCACATGAACACGGAGGTGGTTTTAAACAGTTCAGGTTGGGAGGAGCTTAAAAATATAGAACTTTGAGTTGTTTTTTAATTTTACGTGAGAACATATTTTATAATTCTTACGGCTGCAGCACTGCATCATCAGCTGCTTGTTCCCATAAACACTTTGAAATCATTCAAATCAATAACTTTTTTATTATTTTTTGGTGTTTTAATGTTTAAATGCTCAGATTTTACTTCACACGGCTTTTCCCCTTCCGTCAGATATAGGCTGTAGATTCTGTAGATTCATTATATTATGAAGTAAAACCTCAGGATTACAGATGGGGGGGGGGGGGGGGGGGGGGGGCACTGGCTCTGATCATATCCACGTCACTGTGCTGTTTGTGGTCAGTAGAGGGCGCTAACAGCCATGTTTCCAGGTCGGTGAGGAGCTGTGCACAGACCAACACTCAACGCATGCAGCCTGTTACTCTGCATCTTCTTCCTGTTTATTCATTGTCTCATATTCAACATGAACATTTAGTTTTATTCTAACGAATCATTTCATTTCTAACGACAAAACACGAGTTAATTTATAATTCAGACACGTGTCCAGTGAGATATCATGACGCTGTTTGATCAGAAATATTAGTACCAGCTCCTGTTTGAGAGAACTTTAATAATAAACCCATCAGCAGCCCTCTGCCCGCCCCTCTCTTTGATTGGCTCGTGGCTGTGAAACGCTCCACCCGGCAGGCCTCCGATTGGTCCGCGGAGCCGTCCATCAGCGGGGAGCACCCAGCTCCGGCTGTGGGCAGCAGAGACGCACCGCGGCTCCACTTCTCTTTAGTGCGTCGAGCGGCGGAGCCAAGTGGAGTTGACGCGTCTTGTCGTTGCTGCGTCCGCGGACCGAACAGTAGCAGCGGTGCGCTTTTCCTCCTCCAGAGCCGCTGGCATCCCGGGGAGCAGCCGCGCTGTGCACGCCTCGGACACCGGGGCGAGGAGGATACTGCTTCTTCTTCTTCTCCTTCTTCTTCTTCTTCTTCTTCTTCTAATTCTTCTCCTTCTTCTTTTTCTTCTTCTTCTGCTGCTGCTGCTGCTGCTTCTTCTTCTTCTCCTTCTTCTTCTTCTTCTTCTTCTTCTTCTCCGTCTTCATGAGTATTTTTGACTGATTGAGACAGATCATTTCTGCATTTCCCTCATGGTAACCAACACCGAGCAGCTGGAGACATGTGGAATAATCTGGGGAAAGTGCAGCGCGTCTCTCTAGTGTGTCTCCTCCTGACGCTGTGGGCTGAGGTGAGAAGTTGATTTGAGTTCTGTGGGTTCGATGCTGCTCTCACTGGAAGTCGTCTTTTTTTTTTTTTTTTTGACTGAGGGTTAAATTCCAGCCTTAATTGAATCGTCTGCTCTGTGGTTTGAATCATGTGATCATGGCTTTACTAGATTTACGCGCTTCCTTTGGGAAATAAAACTAATTTGCAGGCCAATAAAAAAGCTCTTCTGTGAAGTGAGCTGCACATTTGAGTGAAGATCCACTTATCCATTTTTTGGGTGATTTAGAAACAACGGGTATGATTTGGTATAAAGTTGTTTCATCACCGAAGAATCCGTGCCAAGGTTCGTGCGTAAATTACAGTTTTTGCCATGATTACGCAAAAGAACTGGGTGAAATAGCTTCACGTTGCTTCACCTGCTTAGGAAAAGTCACAGAATTGAAACATGATAATTATATGAATCAGATTTTAACTCAGACTCTGAAGGTTTCTCTCAGTCGAGCTGTTTTTCTGCAGCTTGATATGCAGACTGAGCTGAATTGGAGTAACTGTCTGTGCTATCCAGCTCTGGAGCTCAGCTGTGCCAAAGTGCACCACAGCGGCGTGAGGCTGCAGAGACTCTTCACTGTCTCTGCCCTTAACTCTGCTCGTGCTCCGCTTGTTTCGGGAAGAAATGCCTCATTCTGCAGCAGTTCCATGAATGGAGATCTGTTGTCCCGATGGCCATATGTCACTTGACCCTTCAGCGTTCAGAGTGTGAGTCTCTTCAGCCCGTTCACGCTTTTGTCATGTCCCTCCTCAGGTGTCTCAGTCCACCGGGTACTTCGAGCTGCAGCTGATTTCGGTGGATAACCCCAGTGGTCAGCTCCTGAACGGCGACTGCTGCGACGCGGAGAAGAGCGCGGCGGAGGGCCACTGCGGCGCGGACGAGTGCGACACCTACTTCAGAGTGTGCTTAAAGGAATATCAAAGTGAGGTCACGACCAACGGGCTGTGCACCTACGGCTCGGAAACTACTAAAGTTATCGGTGGGAATACTTTTCAGTTCAAGGGCGGCCAGAAAAGCGCGCAGAGCCGGAGCAACGACGCCGGGAAGATCGTCATCCCCTTCCAGTTCGCGTGGCCGGTAAGTGGATCGTTGTGTCATTTTGCAATGTGAGAAAAATCTGTGTGTTGTAATTCAAAAGACGAGTTTTACGCAACATTTGCGTAAAATTAGCCAAAGATTGACGTGGATGCACCAGAAGTCATGATCCTGTGTCATTAATGCAACAGTGAGGATGCTGGGAGTTTATCATTCCGTCACATGACGTGATGTCGTGTTTCATGCCCCTTTCTCACCGACCGTCTCCACGACCTCAAACATCTCCCACGTTCCTCTCTTCGCCACAGCCCCGAGCGCGCGTGAAGCACGGTTATTGCGCACGGCGCTGGAGCGGTTGTGTCTGGGTGTGATGAGTTATTAAGCGAGCTGCTGTTTTTGCAGACTGTGCAGAGGAGAGAGGAGGGGGCGAGGGGCCCAGTGTCTGAAGGGGTGAGGGGGTGAGGGTGGGGGAGTGAAGATGAAGAGGAGGCAGGTAACTTATTACCTGATCTGAACCAATCACAACCTGCTCCAGTCAGCGTGGGAAACAGGAGCAGCGCGTTATGAACAGGCCTGTAACACCCAGAGATCTGTATCAGGGAGGTTAAATGGGCAGAGTGACGTCCTGTGGAGGAAACGTCACAGGTTTGATTCCCACATCAGCTGAGTGACCTGTCAAAATAAGAGTCCTTGCGATTGGAAAACAGTATAGGGACATATTGTATATTTACAGCCAATAAAGTTAGCATTAGTTTGTGCTGGACTGAAAAGTCCTTTAGCCACATTGTCTAGAGAAAATGTATGATTCTCTAGATAAACAATCATTTACTTCAGTGGGTTTTACACTGCACCAAGTTATTCACCTTGAAAAACTCTATTTAATACTTTCAGACTAAAACCAATTGTTTCATGTCCATTGCAGCAACTTCGCTCAGTTTGATATTTTCAGACGCTGAAGGTTTATTTTTCTTGAAAAATCTTGAAATAAGTTGATCTTTGTTGGAGACGTGTTGAACCTGCAGCTTATTTCACTTCTTTCAACAAAATAAGACTCAGGACATGTTTTTCTCTGCTTCATGTCACATTCCTCAAATATTTTCAATAAGATTTTTCATAGTCATGAAGCTAAACAGTAGCTGGCCCCTCGATTTCTGCTTCAGTCTGATAGAAAATCATTCAGTCATTCGACTGTTAAAACTCATTCCGGTCATATTTGCCTTGAACGAACAGAAACGCTGTGGGTGTGTTCATGTCAGAACATACATATCGGACATATCGGGTGCTTTGTGAGCGCGCCTGGCTACGTGACCTCCCCATTCATCACTCCCCATGGTCAGCTGTCAGCAGAGGGGAAGATGGAAGTAGTAAGTTGGGGCCCTGCGGGCGGATACGATTACCACTAAGTTGTGTGTGTGACACAGGCGGCGGGTATCGGTGTCACCAACTACTCAAACAAATGAAGAACCCCGGGCAATCTGGGCCGGGGGATGCCTTTACCTCGCCGCCTCTCAGGTTCACGCTCTGTCCGTTATTGGGTCATTGTCTCACTCGGCGTGTGTGGGGTCAGTATTTTCCACTATCTGCCCGGGGGGGGGGGGGGGTGTGTGTGAGGGACATCAATGAAGGAGAGTATCACCATCAGCTTCTTCTGAGGAGGCTGTTTAAGTGGAAGCTGTTGAAGGTGTTTGGAATTTGTCACGATGCACTTTATGTTCAAGTGTCAGCGCCCTCTAGTGGTCATCGTGATGAACAGAGGTGATATTGTGGAGCCACGGAGCGTGTGTAGGACGGATGTGACGACAACACATTGGATGTCGGGCTGCTGTTCATTTCTGGTTTCCTATCAAGTGTTGTTCCTTTCAATCATGACCACCATCTTTTATTACCCTGGCTACGTTTTCTTATACGCCGTAACCATGACGATACAGGTCATGTGCATTGTGGTAACATTAAAGGGATAGTGACACATTTTTGAAAGATCGGCGTGTCTCTGGCGTATCTTCTGCTCCCAGTAGGGGGCACTAAACACATAACTGAGTCAGCTGACAACAGAATAAACGTCTCAGGTCAAGGTCGACTTACTCGCTTTACCTGCAGCTCATTCATTGTCACAGAGACACGTTCACAGGATCAAGCATTAAGTTTAACGCTCCATCGTCATCACAAACTAATTTGTCTGTTTTTACCCAGTTCAGTTTGACTATTGATCGATAAATTGATCAGTCCCGGTTTGAGATGACGACAGATGTCTCACTCGCTTCCCGGATCAGACGCCTCCAAACCGCCGCCCTCCTCCCGCCACACATTGCGGTCTGAATGTGACAGAATGTGTTTTGTACGTGGCCTGTAGCCTCTGGTGCTGCTATAGTGGACGGCCTCAGTATCTGGGCCACTGGTCCTGACATGAATTAACGGCTGGAAAAAAATAAAAGAAGAAGGTCATTGTTCTGCCTCTTCTTTTACTGATCATTTCCCCTTCATGCCAACCCCCCCCCCTCCGGCTGTTTGGGTCTTCACTGACATCTTTTTCATGAAAGGGAATGAGGGGGGGGGGGGAGGGATTGACCGATGGAGCGAGGGAAGGAGGGATGGAGAAGACAGGAAGGGAGGAAGGGAGGAAGCCGCCCCCACTTTAAACAAAACTCAGCTTCCTTGTGAGTTTTCAGTCACGAGGAAAATGTATTTTTAGGACGCAGACACTTAAGATGCTTTTTTTTT